CAGAATCCAGACATTATGAAAAAGAATTGGGAAGTTGTTTTATAGTCCCATGCATAGATTTTTAAGCATGAGTTTCTGTCTGATGCCATGTTTGCTTGAATGAACTGGGATTTGCATGAGCATGCCTTTTAATCGCTATTCCACATTGCAAGGAAGGATTTTTTAAAGTGCTAAAATAAGTAAAAATCCCAACCCTGACATCCTTTATTAGGCACCTCTCTCCACTCTTGCATCAGGAAGTAGTTATTATCCTGTCTACTCACTGAGATTCCAACACTTTTGCCTTTTGAAGAGGGATAGTTTTCACTCTGTGATAGAGAACCTCTCGAGCAAAACACTAAAATTCCATTTCTGAACCTGAACCAAATTTAATTTTCACATGCCTTCCCTTCCTGACCAGGCCTTCACAACAGAAGCTTTTGTCATCTCAGCAATATTGGAACAGGAAATTATTCCTGCTAACTCTTCTCACCTCCTTCTCCCCACAGAGAAGAGTGATGAAAAATGACCCTGGTGGGAACACAAGGAATGTCAACTGTTAGCAGTTGTCACTCATCTGTCACCTGCCACCTTCACTGCGATTTGACCTTGTCTTTTGGAGCTTTGTGTCCACAGGCCTCACACAGGCTTCAGTGACCCACAGGCTTAAGCTATCGGGAGGGCAGAGGGCGCTTCTCTCTGGAAGTCAGTCAGGAAGCCTGGGAGATGTGTAGCAAAAACGAAATTGGTATTTTTTTTTCCTTTAGCTCCAGTAAGAGCTCCTGATTGGCCCAGCATACTGCAGTTCATTACACACAGACACAGAAAGCTCTTTCTTAACTAGGTAAACTGGGGTAACCATCATCATCTCAGGATGGTGCCTTTTAAATCAATACTGCCTTTTAAATCAAGAATAGAAAGAGGTAAGTTTCAGGCATATTTACAAAATTCTACAGCCACAACTTTACCAGGCATCAGTAGCTCATACCTGTAATCCTAGCTACTCAGTAGGCTGAGATCTGAGGATCACAGTGCAAAAATCAGCCTGGCAGGAAAGTCTGTGAAATGCTGATCTCCAATTAACCACCAAAAAGCCAAAAGTAGAGCTGTGGCTCAAGAGGTAGAGGGCCAACATTGAGTAAAAAAGCTAAAACACAGTACCCAGGGTCTGGGTTCAAGCCCTAGTACTGGCAATAAATTAATTAATAACAGAATTTGCTTATGCATTACTAACACATGCAGACAGGAATTTCTGACAGCTTCTCCTTGTTTTCCTACAAGTATGCTTGAAGCCATTTAAAATAATGGCAATTGTTTGCGCTAATGTTTTTTGTTTGTTGTTTTCTAGTTCATGCTGGTGCTAAGGCTTGAACTGTTCCCTTAATTTCTTGCACTCAAGGCTGGTACTCTACCACTTGAGCCATACCTCCACTTCTAGAATTTTTTTTAATTGGAGATAAGAATCTATTGTATTTTATCTGCTCCCTCTGGCTTCAAACCTCAATCCTCAGATCTCAGCCTCCTGAGTAGCTTGTGTTAGCTACTGATACTCGGCTGCACTCAAGATTAAAACTAGCACTCAGATGCTAGAATCTGGGGAGAATTCATAGCAGCCATATGGTTGGACTGGGAACTACCCTGGAAAAGGCCAAAGCTTATTTGTATCTTGAAGTATGAAAGTCTGACCACAACCAGCCTCTTGCCTATGAGATTGCAGTCTGAGCAACAGAAGGCAGGAGAGCGAAGCGGCCTGGCCATCTGGCTCTGCCTCTTGAGGCAGACAGAGTACCCACAACCCCAGTAGCTTTCCTTCAACAACATTCTAAAATACATCCAACTCCTATCCCTCCCCTGAACAAAAGCACTATGGAAGCTGTGAAGGACCACACGTGTGATGATTTGACATGAGACACACCAGGAATATAGTTCCACTCACTACTGTATTCTGGGAACAGATAGAGACAGAAAGTGGCCTGGAGTTGGCTTTTCATGTTCTTTCAGTTCTTACTGCTAGAAAAAAAAAGAAGTCAAGTATGGAGAGATCATTGAGTGGGAGACTGGAGTATCGACAGGGTTTGTGCTCAGGAAAGACCACCAAGTGACCAGAGCATGGAAACACACCCTTCCCGAAAGACGCACGTGGCCTGCACTGCAGACCCGCCCAACTCTCAGCACACATTGTTTCCCTGCAGCTCTGGGGATCCACTGTCCCTGAAGGGCTCTCTGTCCTGGAAACATGATCAGCACTTGGGTTCTGCAGCTCCAGTTCTGGTTTTTTTCCTGACTCAGCCAACACTCTTCCCCATCTCTAATGTTGAATGCAGGAGTATCTCATCAGGACTTGGTTCTTCTCATTTCTCTCCTCCAGTTATCATGAAAAGCCAGGTGATGTCCTCCAGCGTAGGAATTCCAGATGTGCACAGTCCGCTGACTGCTGGACATTGCTGTGTGGATATTGAAAACACCTTTCCATGTTTAAACATCTCCCCATCCCAAAGGTGTCCTGCTCACACCCTTCCCCAGCAACTCCACCCCATGGCAGTACTTCTGAACTGTCATGGACTCTTCTTTTCCTCTCATTCACATCATCAAATACAGACAGGTTTTATTTCAATATACACTATGGTCTTCCCAACCCTGCTACTGCTGTTGATACTGCCTTGTTGAAGATGTTTTGTGACTCCAAGATGGTGTGTGTGTGTGTGTGTGTGTGTGTGTGTGTGTGTGTTTAAGCAGGCTGCTTGCTTTTTAGTCCTTGTTTAACACGGAAGTCAGTTTATCTCACTTCTTTGCTCAAACCCCTCCAAAGTCTCCTTATCCTATTCACAGACAAAGCCAAAGAACTGCAACACTGACCCGCCCCACCCCACCCCCACAATCCTCCCCTAATTCAACTCCACCACATGGCTGCTCTGTGAACAGAGAAGTGAAGTCCATGCAAATTACATTAAAATACATAATTATATACATAGTATATTTATATACATGTAAAAATAAAGATATTAGACACAATTGAAATGTACACAATGTATCATCTAAATATTGGTACAGCCAAACAATGGAGTGCTATACAGCCATTAAAAATAAACAGAACAAGAAGCCAGTGGTTCACACCTGTAATCCTAGCTCTTTTTTTTTTTGGGAGGGGGGGGAGGTCCGGTTGTGGTGCCTGAACTCTGGGCCTGGGCGCTGTCCCTCAGCTCTTCAGCTCAAGGCTAGTGCTCTACCACTTAAGCCACAGCACCACTTCTGGCTTTTTTCTTTTTGCTTATGTGGTGTTGAGGAATCGAACCCAGGGCCTCAGGCATGCAAGGCAAGCACTCTACCACTGAGCCACCTTCCCAGCCCGTAATCCTAGCTCTTTAGGAGGCTGAGATCTAAGGATCACAGTTTGAAGCCAGCCTGAGCAGGAAAGTCCATGAGACTCTTTTCTTCACCCAATTAACCACCAAAAAAGCCAGACATGGAGCTATGGATCAAGCAAACAAGATCAGGGACACTGTTCAGGACCAGAGGAAAGGGAAGGGGAAGCGGAAGGGGGGAAAGAGGGGAAAAGGGGGAAAGAGGGGAAAATGGAGAAAGGGAAAGGAGAGAATGGAGAGGAGAAGGGAAGGGGAGGAGATGGGAGGGGAGGGGAGGGAATGGAAGAGACTTGGTGGGGTGGCAGATATTAGGAGTATCAGTCTTCAAGGCAGAGAGTCTCATCTCAACAAATAAGCTGGATGAGGTAGCATGTGTCTGTAATCCTAGCTACCCAAGAAGGAGAATCAGTGCAAGGCCAGCCCCAGTCAAAAAAATCTAAGACCTATTAAAAAAAATAAAAGGAAAAGCAAAGTCTGGGTCATGGCCTAAGCAGTAGAACATGCCTGCCTTGCAAGTACAAAAGCCTGAGTTAAAACCCAAATATTGCCAGAGAGAAAGAGAGAGGCAGAGACAGAGACAGAGACAGAGAGAGCCAAAGAGAAATCAAGAACAAAGAGGGTAGCTGAGTAGTGCAGGACTTGCACAACATGCACGAGAAGAGGAAAGGGAGAGAAAAAAGTAAAAATCATGTAAAAGACTTGGAAATATTCATAGCCTAGTGTTAACCAAGAATACAGAATAAATATTTATATGTGTCATGAGTTCAACACAGCTCATATCTTTGGAGTTTGGGGCTGAGAATTATGTCTTATAGGACATATGGAGCACCTAGCAAGTTTCCCTCAATAAATTCAAATTGGAGATAAAGAGTAAGTTATCAGCTACTCTGGAGGCTGTGATCTTAGGATCATGGTTCAAAGTCAGCCTGTTCAGGAAAGTCTATGAGACACTTATTTCCCCTTAACTATCAGAAAACTGTTAAGTGGAGCTGGTAGAACACTAGCCTTGAGTAAAAGAGCTCAGGGACAGTGCCCAGACCGAGTTTAAGCCCTACAGACAACAATAACAACAAAAATTGGAACTAAATTTTAAATTTTCTTCAGTAGTTTTCAACTATACATTTTTCTATTTCCTAGAATTATTCACTTCATTTACATTTTTATAAAAGAGTTGAGAAGCTTTATACTCTTGCTTTCACATATTTTATATTCCTTCATTTCTACTCTAGATTTCTAAAACAATACCTGTTTTTGGTGTTGTTGCTTCTGCTCTACCTATTTTCACAGGGGTAACACAATAAAACATTCTATTAAAATGGTCCAACAATTCAATCAAATATCATCAAATGCATTATACTAAAAATTACAACCAAAAATAAAATAAATAAAAATTTCTCAGCAAAATCACTAAGACTTGATCATATTTTCACAGGTATACACATACAAAAATTTGTCAAATTGTACAATCTAAATAGGTGATATCAATAATGTCTTGGTAAAGCTGCTAAAGAAATCAGGAAATAATATGTGATTAAAAGGTGTAGAAAGCTCACTCTCTCTCTCTCTTTCTCTCTGTCTCTGTCTCTCTCTCTCTCTCTCTCACACACACACACACACACAGATACACCCATACATTTACACACACAAAAGAACCACTCATTAAATGCTTCAGTAAGTTTATTTACAATGCAGCTGGACAAAAAGCTCACTAGTTTCTGAAGATACTTCTGGTGTACAAACCACAATTTTTTTCATTATTGAAAATAAGCAGCTTTATTTTCAGATTTGCTAGCCACAATTCTGGTATGAAAAAAAAAAGAGCTCTCCCCATTGAGTAAATTAAATGTCTCAGAAACTCAATTATTTTCCTATCATATTACACAGGCATAAAGAATACAAAAAGCAAATTTAGGAGTGGATTTCAATGACATTTCCAAGTAGTTCCACATTTAGTACACATTACAATAAACAGAGCAAGTGCCATTCCATCTTTAAATTAACTATTTCAGAAAATGTTCAAGAACCTTTAAAAAAAAAATGAAACAATAAAATACCCTCTTCAAAACACCACTCCAGTCAAACTAGATCACTATCAGCCTCGGAAAAAAAAAAAACACGTTTATTTTTCAGCTCTTATTCTTTTTCCCTTGTGCTTTTTAGGGTGCTGAATTTAAAAAGTAAATACTGCACTTTTCTCCACACACATATAATCACCTTCTTATAAATAAGCATCAAAAATCCAGAATCTACCAAGACTACGGTGTTCCTATATAATCTAATGAGGCCCAAAAAAAAAAGTTGTTTGTTTTTTTAAAAAAAAAAGAGGGAGAAAAAGGACATACAACACATATTTATAGATCTAAATCAGCAGCAACCACCTCTTCTTCTATCTGCAACAGTGCTTTCGAATGGAGGCTTACGTCACATGGCAGTTGGCCGTCCGGCTGATCAGACAAGGAGAGAAGAGAGAGAAGTGCTTAGATTCAGAAAGGTGTCACCATCGGCGCAGGGGATAACACACAGTCATCACTCCAGAGTGGCCAAGTGAGGCAGAAAGAGTCACCTGTCACTCAGCTAGGGTAAAGCTAGGCAAATAATCACAGCCTCCGGGCTCTCCAATTCTTTATTGTTTAAAAAAAAAGACAAAAGAACAAGAAAATAACATATATGGACTGCTGATCTAGAAAGAAATTGCACTCAACTCTCTATTGTGTGCACCAAAAGAGAGAAAGGCATGGACAACTTTGCAATGAGTCCACAATTCAATTTCTATTTGGCTTCAGAATAGAAACACACACACACACACACACACACACACACACACACATACCCACATACATACTCCCCCCACAGGACTCATGTGGTTCTTGTCCAGCCTTGACATTCTCCAGCCTCAGCATTAGAGTCCAGGGAAGAACTGGACAGCTGGGGAGAGAAGACTGAGATGCCACTGACAGAGGAGAGAGAGTTAACAGGGCTCCATTTCCAAAGCACTCTTCACATTAGGGGCCACATAAATACCTCTGCGTTCAAAAGCAAATGGCTTTGCTGATACCACTTGTAACACCCTAATAAGGAAGAAGCACGTTACCAGTATCAAGGTTCAGAATCAATACCGCAGTAATCATTGTCTTGCTGTAGCTGGAAATGATATGCAATCTCATCATGCTATCCTACATATGTGCTTTATAACAAGAGTGCATGCTGAGCACTTGAAGTTTTTGAAAAACTCCACTGTACCAGCATTGACATTTGAAACACTACATAATCAGAATTAAGGCTCTCTGTTGTTTTAAAAATATATTGTATGCATCGATATACAATTATACATTAGCAGTAATCATATGCTGACATTCTTAACTACGTTAGATGCTCATTTTCAAAGTTGCTCACAGACTAAGTCACACAATCAAACCTTATTTGTAGATGACAGAAATAAGCTGATGATGTAGTTAATCAAGCAGCTGATTACAGCCTACTGGAAGATTCATTTGTACTGTCGTTTGGGTTGACTGCATTCTTAAGTCTTTGTTTTCACAAACAAAAAAAAAGGCATTGCCCTGATTTGGGGGTACACCTCCCTCCCCAGTTCCTCTCCCCCACCTTTCCCCCCTCTCCCCACTGTCTGGCTGTAACCCTGAGTAGGGACCGTCCATTACACACTTTCTCTGAGAGGAACAGACTTAAGATTTCCACAACCCAGAATCCTATTGCAGTGAATTGGAGGGAGAGGGGGCTACCGGCTCAGGGAAAGGCAAGGGAACCCGTGGTCTCCTCAAAAGGCAAGAAATTTTCTCTTTGATTTGCTCTCTTACATTTGAATCTGAGATAGCAGTCGTTGCAGTACAATTGGTGGTTTCTGATTCTGACTTCGGCTCCTGACGATGAGCCTCCGAGATCACACTCGCAGGACACGCACTACGGCAACAACAACAAAAAAAAGATCGCTCACAATTAGTCTGCTCCAGCAAGTTCCAGGCACCCTCAGAAAGGATTTAAAAAAGAAACAAAGGACAAGAAAAAAGCAGAATGCCACATCTAAGCTCAACAAAGGGAGAAAACAAAACAGAGAGGCCAAGGAATGATTAGATGATTAGTAGATAAAAATCAAGCCAGACAGGTAAGACATTAAAGAACTCATCAAGCCAATTTCAAGAGCCAAGATGATCATTCCTAAATATACTTAGGGGTGCGGGGGAGGTGAACTAATTTACTGATGGGCTGAAAGAAATTTAGATTCTCTCCTACCCTCTGCCCCCTGCAGGGGGAATGGAGGGTAAGTTTCCACATAAAAGAGCTGTTAGAAATGAACAGAGCGTGGGTTTCTGCCTCTGTTATCTGGGGTGGGCCAATCCTGGAGATTTTGGGGGGCCCTAACTTGGGCAAGGGTCCCAGCAGGTACTCATTTCACTTTCCTGGGCTCCAACATTATTCTGACTCACTCTGTCCTGTCTAGGACAGCACAAGCCAGCAGTAGTGTGGACAAGCCTAAACCAGCTGTGTTCTGTAAGACTTCAAAATCAACAGCTGGGAGACTTTCTTCAGCTGGGAGACTTTCTTCTGACCCAATTGCAAGTTCAAATATTAAAAAAAAAAAAAAAGAAAGAAAATCAAATAGGCGCTCCTCTAGAGGCAGATACCGCAAAACAAGCAATTACAACCCGAGTTCCTTCTTATGTACAAAACCTGTCAGGTAACACATCCGCTGTGCAATCATGAAAATACTTCCACAGGTTTTCCTTACACATTCTCTGTATTAGAAGTTAAGGCTCTGATTCTGTGAGAATTGCATTGTCCCTGTGTTGTTGGTAACAGTGGCAAATTATCTTTCAAATATGCCTGTGACAGTCATGTTAGAGAAAACATTTATACACGGGTACATTTTTTGTTGTTGTTATGTATAGAATGCTAATGGATTAGGGTCGGCGAATGCATCGTGCTTCCAGAGTTCCTTTGTACAGCAAGGTGTAGGATACAAGCACCACGGAGTAGCAAGCAATGTGTGATTGGAGCGCAGCCCTGGAACGCAGCACAGACCGGCAGCATCTAGCTTGTTAGTGACCCCAGCGAGCAACTCAAAAGCAGCCATGCACTCCCCAGGTAAAGCTTTTGCAGGCCTGAGAAGCCGTTTTGTCTCCGTCTCACCTTAAAGCAATGTAAATGGTAACAAAGCCCCAGGGATTCGATGATCATGGCGGCTCCTTTGCCCAGAATGTTATTACAGTAGGAGCACGTGCGCTTCCCACTCACTGACCTAGATGCAGAAACAGGGAGGAGGGAACGGAGGCTTTTAACTGTGCAGTGCAAGGTTCCTACTGAAGAGCTTATTCTGTCACTAACAATAGGGATCAGTTAGGAAAGTCCCCTGCAGGTGGGAGCCAGTGGCTACTCAGGAGGCTGAGATCTGAGGATGGTGGTTCCAAGCCAGTCCCTGTAAGAAAGTCTAAGAAACTCTCATCTCCAATAAATTACTCACCAAAAGCTGGAAGTGGAGCTGTGGCTCAAGTGGCAGAGCACTAGCCTTGAACCACAGAAGCTCAGGGACAGCACCCAGGCCAGAGTTCAAGCAAGAGGGAGAGAGGAGAGAGGGGAGAGAGGAGAAAGAGAAAGAGAGAGAGGGAGAGAAAAGAGGGAGAGGAGGAGAGAGAGAGAGGACAGAGAGAGGAGAGAGGGGAAAGAGGGGAGAGAAGGAAGAGAGGAGAAAGAGGGGAAAGAGGGGAGGGAGACAGAGGGAGAGAGAGGGGTGGAGAGGGGGAGAGATAAAGAGGGAGCAAGGGAGGGAGGGAGAGAGGGAGAGAGACAGAGAGCGAGAGAGAGGGAGAAGGAGAGAGAGAGAGAAAGAGAGAGTCTATATAATCTCTTGGGGAAAAAAGGTTCACCAGCCAAAGCAGTAACCTGGAATGAAGCCATGGTAGCCCTTGACCTTTGACACCAACTCACCTAAAGGAACGTCTGTTAATATGGTCCACTTGGTACTCCACTAGATCACATATAATCTCAGCAATATCTTTCCATCTCTGAGCCTTTAAAACTTGCCGCTTAACCTCACCAGAACACACAACTCCAGCCATGCAAGCTACCCATGGGAAGGGCTCCCCATCCCGGCTTCCTTGGCCAGGCGCTGGAGTCCTCTACCACGGGTCTTCTCAGCTTTAGTTCTCATTCTCTTTCCTAGTCATTTAACCATCTAGTTAGAAATACGAGTGCTTTCTAATTGTGGTCCTGCAAAGAGTAGAGTGGGCTTTGCTAGAGAATTGCCTTTTAGGGGGATTTCTGCTTTCATTCAGGCTAAGGTAAACAGGGAAGAAAGCCCACAGCCTGTCTCTGTCCTCGGTTCTCTTAGCATGGAGCTCCCAGTAAGTAAACTGCACAGGTTTCACCTCCCCCCAACAAACTGACCATTAAATCCTTTCCTCTTTTCTCTGAATTGAAATTCTTCAGTAGACAACATGGGTTGTAAAAACTGTTTTCTTAAGTCTCTTCCATGGTGCCAAACAATCCTAGCATCAATCTATTTCAACTTTGAAGTTATTTTCTTTGTGCTAAAAAGTATTATAAGCCAAAAGAACGTTGCAGCATTCTGGGAGAACTCCATGGAGAAGTATTTCTGTTGCAAGTAAGTGAGGCACAAAAGCCATGAGGATCTCAAAACCTGACTCACACTGAGCCTAAGGCTTGACCCCACTGAACAAGGCAAGGGGCTACACAGCCATACACTCCCCACATGGACATGACCTACAGAATCCAGCTGATGTAACTTGGACAATGTCAGCAAACCAATTGGTCTTCTGCAAGCAATGACTGTGGCAAATCCAAATCCCCCAAAAGAAATCTGACCTACTCAATTGTTTTGTTTTTTAAATCCAGCTTGTTAACACTTTCCTGACAATACAGCTTGCTGATGAGGCTTTTCTTCTATCCTTGGTTCCTAAAATGAGAGTTGCTATCACAATGTCATAAAAATAATCAAAAGATTTTACAATACTGCTTTTACTCAGAAATGAGGAAAGCATTCAGGAGCTGTATGGTTTTGTCATTCTACAAGGAAAACTATTCAGGTATATCCTACAGCTGAGACCCTGCCCACTGCACTGGCAAGGAGACCCCAGCAATAAGCAGCTAACTTTAAGGGCTCTGATGGCTTTACCTGACGTCCACAGATACTGTTAGGGCAGCACAGAAGAGTATTGAGATAGCTTGTCCATAGACTATGACACTTTCCAGAGGGTTTGTTTGGCTGGTTTTTTTTTCATGGAAGACTTGGCCAAGATGTAGAGAACGTCTCATTGACAAAACACCCCTGGGACCAAACCAAAGAAAGGAGCCTCACCTGTTGCGAAGCTGAGCCCCCGACTGCAAAGTGGAGGGGGAATGGCTGCGTGGGATGGGGGACCGTGAGGTCACCATGCTCGTGATGGTGGTCTTCACCTGGCCAGCTGAAGGAGGGGGCACACTGGACGAAGGGGTCCGCATGTAGGCACGGTTTGATGTGGACAGCAGCTGAGGCGGTGGGCGACTGAAGTCCTGAACAGAGGAGGAGGCGTAGACACCGGCGGGCTGACTGTGCCACGGGGACTGTCTCCAAGAACCGGACCTGGGGGAGTCCAGGTTATCTAGAGACTCGCCTCTGAAACACACACAGGATTGGCCAAAATAACTAGCTATTCAACTGGGAATCTATGCAACACATCGGTGTGTTCCCTCGGAGATGCACCTTTAAGCATTTCCCAGGCAGTCATGACGCTGAGTTATGTGTAAAATTACTTTAACCAGCAAATTGTTCTTCATCGTCAATGGTATTAAGACATCTCCCATTTCAAGCAACCGTGATTTTTATTTCTGTGTTTTGATAAAAGAATACCATCCAAGGTGAAAAGAAAACCATATTTTTAAATAAGAACATTTTTACATAGCCCTTAAATCTTTTAGTAATAGAAACCTATAAATCTTAATGCCTTTCAAAATTCATCCAAAAAAATACATGTTATGCATTTGAAGAGATGAACTAAGCTAGACATTTTTGTTAAAGTATTCACCTTTATCTTTATAACACTAGATAAGATACCTGTGTGTGTGTGTGTGTGTGTGTGTGTGTGTGTGTGTGTGTGTGTGTGTGTGTGTGTGTGTGTGTGTGTACTGGGACTTGAACTCAGGACCTCAGCCTTTGACTTTTTTATTCAAGGCAGGTGCTCTACCATTTGCTCCACTTTCAGCTTTTTGATGACTTATTGGAGATAAGAGTTCCACCAAGATTTCTACCTAGGTTGTCTTTGAACCTCAATCCTCAGATTTCAACCTCCTAAATAGCTAGAATGACAGGTGTGAGCCACTAACCCCCAGTTCAGACAAGATATTTTTAACCTCCCAGAAGTTAACTTGTCCTTAGGAGGAACCAGTGAGAGTGGCCTTAACTCTCAAATCAAAGTTGTTCTGGCTCCCACATGAATCTTGAGAGGTGCTCGTTCATTTGCTACCCTGAACCCTAAATCTCAACAACTGTTTGAGGTCCATTTCCCTGAAATTGAATACACTGGATTGAGCTCAACACTGCCTTAAATACAACTTTTAGAAGAATCTCTCAAAAACTGGATACTAGGATTAATACTGATCTACCAAAGGTAATTCTAAATTGTGAGAGAGATCTCTACCTGGCTTGTGCTTGACATATACTCAATCGCACTCAATCACTTTTTCCTACTTCCCTCTCTCCCCTCAGTCTTAAGTAAGCTGAAAAGCAAAAGAGGATCTTTCTCCTGTGTGAATGGCCATCAGAGAGAGAGAGAGAGAGAGAGAGAGAGTAACTTCTGTAGGCTCGTACCTTCTCATCATCCCAGGCAGACAAATCGGCTCTTTATTCACACTGGCACTGCGCTGCCGGATCCAGCTGTTGTCATCGTGGAGGGAAGTTCTCTTCCTCATTTCCTGGAGGATTTGCTGTCTCTCCCGCTCTGCCCCTGAGGGGACTGGATCCTTCTTGGAGCTCCTCTGTGAAAAGCTAACGCTCCCAATTTGGTCTAAATATTTGCTGCTTCCTAAATGAAAAGCAATAGCAAAAGCTTCAGGAATAATACAGAAAATAAGGTAGTGGATAAACTTCCCAAGATAGTTCATGTGAGACATTGTGCACAGGTGCTACCGTTTTCCATTTCCAGTGAGGCGGCTGTATGAGAACAAAAAGTAACTATCCGCTTCCTATTTCTGCAAGTTCTGGTCTCACAGCTGAAGCATGTTGGAGAACGCATTGGGGGAAGAACACAGAGGCTGCCTACGAAGGTAAAGAACAAGTACACCTCCTACAATGCTCAGTTACAAAGCACTCATCTAGAAAATGTTGTCTTGTCCTCTACTTTTTCCTTCCTTCCTAAATTCAGTTAAGCATATAAAATAGAATGCTTGTTGTGACAACTAACTGCTGGGCGCTGGTAACTCATGCCTGTAATCCTAGCTGCTCAGGATGCTGAGATCCAAGAATCATGGTTCAAAGCCAACCTGGGCAGGAAAGTCTGTGAGACACGTATTTCCAATTAACCACCCAAGAACCAGAAGTGGCACTCTGTCTAGTGGTAGAACACCAGCCTTAAGCAACAGATCAGGGACAGTGCTCAGGCCCTGAATTTGAGCCCTATGACCAAAAAAACAAAAACAAAAAACCACAAACAAAAAACCTTGAAGAGAGCCGGGCGCTGGTGGCTCACGCCTGTAATCCTAGCTACTCAGGAGGCTGAGATCTGAGGATCGCGGTTCAAAGCCAGCCCGGGCAGGAGAGACTGTGAGACTCCTATCTCCAATAAACCACCAGAAAACCGGAAGTGGCGCTGTAGCTCAAGTGGTAGAGCGCTCGCCTTGAGCTGAAGAGCTGAGGGACAGCGCCCAGGCCCAGAGTTCAAGCCCCACGACTGACAAAAAAAAAAAAAAACCTTGAAGAGAGAGAGAAGATACAACTGGATTTATGCCTGGATAACATGGCCCAAGTTTTCTTGGCATAAGTCATTAAAAAAAGGTCACCACTAATGTCTGTAGGAATAAGAGCATATTTATAACATAAAACGGATTTAGGTTATAATATTAATTATTATATAATAATTTCTAATTATTATATAATAATTTCTAATATAATTTCTAATTCTATAATAATTTCTAATTTAGGTTAAATATCCACAACTTTCAAATATCATGCCAATCTTTGTAGAAGGAAATTCTCTCTTTCTATAGATTCACTGCTATTGTCATTCTTTCAAAGTCTGTTGTTTGTGCTTTAGTTCTCTTCCAATCAGCAATTAGCATTTATACTCTTTCACATGTAGGACAGTTTTATCAATGCCATAACTATGTTATTCCATCAAGTATTTAATGATTTCTGTTGGCTGCAATTCAGGATCTTACAATTGGTTAGTAAAGGAGAGAAAACATACCAAAAATAAAAATAACAAGACTAGATACAAAGCAGAATTATGAGCCAGCTGCTTCCAGACAATCATAGTCATTGCACTAGCAGGCCACGTGTTTTCCTCAAAGCAGAATATAATCACCACAACTTAGAAGTACTTCATGGAAGACTGAAGTACTTATACTAGAATTTTAATGATGGCTAGGGTCAATTCAGGGTGAAAAGATGGAAAATCCAATCAGGGAAAGGCCCAAAGACCAGAAGAACCTTATCAGAAAGTATTTGATAAGTTGAGACTTTAGAGAGAGGATAATTGGTCATAGTTAAGCATTTCACTAAGTTCTTGAAGAACTGGGGGGAAAAATACTGCTACTTAAGCCAAAATAATGGCAGATCCTACTTATTCAAGGCAAGGAGCAAAGACAGGCCCCAAAATACTAATGGAAATTATAAATTTTATAAGCTTCATTTCAACCAGAAGTCACCAACTAAGTACCACTCAGTTCCAGCTAACAGATACGTTTTGCTCAGTTTTCCTTCTTAGCAAGTGAAAGACAATGGAAACATTCAGTTTTCCTTCTTAGCAAGTGAAAGACAATGGAAACATGTGGGTTTTAATGTTGTTGTAATTAATGTCTTTTGTATGCTAGACATAGGTGGCAATCAGATCTTATATTTCCCCACACATCAGTGATGGGCTAGAATGGGGCAGGGAGGGGAGGAGGTCTGTCCACTTCAATCCTTTCTGGGACCTTCACCACTTTGTGAACTGCCCAGCATCTACTTGTACAAACCCTGCCCAAAATGCTGCTTGCTTTTCCTTAGTTATAGAAGTTCGGTTGTGCTCGTTTATCAGATGCATACTTCATACTAATAATTCCAGGTTCCAAATTATTTTCACAAAGTTAGTGAAATCATCATCACTTTCCATGTATGACATTTTGCTATGCTTAAATATAGAACTTCAAATTTGCATATAAATGTTAAGTCCCCTGATATACTGCAAAATATTTTCTGACCCATTTTTTCAGCAGCTTTCTGTAGAACTCCCACACACTGCATTAGTTACTTAAACCACGTTAACCTCCCAATCTCTTCCCATCATAAAGCCAAAATAAACACCATGGTTGTTATTTTTGAGACACTAAATATAGTAAATATTTTATTTTTATTTTAATGATCCTGTGATATCTTGCCTTAAAAAACATCATAGCATGTGAAAGCACTAACAAGCAATTGTGACTGAGGAAATTTGAGAGAAAAAAATCACAGTTACCATTTTTGTTTGTAGAGTAATCATCTAGTTCAGTAGTTGATCGGGATTTACTCCTAAAACATAGAATATAATATATTATGTATATCTCATTAATAAGAACATCTTTTTCATATTTATAAAGTAAAAAATACCAAAATAAAAGATGCTATTTAAGCAGATAATGTATTTCCTATGTCTGTTGAGAAGTACTATATTTTTTCTCTTCAATACCTTGTTTATTATTATCTTTAAATCATCGTTAAAAAAAGGATTTCAATTCTACATGTCAATTAATGAGTAAATGTATCTTGATAAATTGTCACAATTTCCATCAGAGAACTCTATTTTTAAACCAAGGAATTTTTCATATTGTGCCAACTAGCAGAAAACAAAGAGTGAGATGATAGAAATAGATGTTCATGTGTAACCATACTTCTCCAGCTTCTGTAACAGCTAAAACAATGATTACTGATAAAACTCACTCCACTCCAGATCTTTATCTTACCAGGTTTACAAAGCATCTGCCACCAGTTCACCCAGAGTCAGACTGCCCTGCCTCCTCCACCCTGCCCCGGAATCAAGATGTCCACGTATGGGGCACTACAATACTATTGATCATTCTAGATTCACATTTCATGAAATACTAGCCTAGCATTTCAAACAGGACCCTAGCATTTAAAGCACACTGCACCGGCAACTTTGGAAGGCACCAAATATTTAGGTATATAAATCAACACTTGCTAATCTCATTCTCACTCTATTAGGAATACTGAACTTAGTGACATTGGGTATAGTGGTACATGCCCATAATCCCAACTTCTTAGGAGGCAGAGACAGGAGGATCATGAGTTTAAGGCCAAAAATTTGAAAATAAGTGTTTTGTTTTGGTAGATATAAGTATATGATTCACAAATGTAGCTGTTTTCCAGGTGTGCCATGCTATTATATACTCATGTGTATATCACATTATATTCATGTGCACTTTGTATAATAGTATACACTATGCATTATTAGTTTTTTCAGTACTGAGGATTGACCCTACGGCTTCATTCATGCTATGGTACACTACAGGCATAACTATGTACAGACATTACTCCTCAATTCCTCTCAGGCATTCTTCACCAGCACTGCCTGGAGGTGTTTTGCATTTTCCAAGATTCCTTAAAATTCTTTTCCCTGCATTTTAATTATCTAGCTCCAAGGTAATCAGTTACATAAAGTTTTAAAAAGCACAGCATAGCTTTACACATTTTAGTGATCCATAGTTACTCAGAGGGATTCACTGCAAACAGTCACTTATCACTAGATGTTTCTCTAGCTATTTATTCCTTCCTTTTCCCACTCTGAGTCCTTTCCAGTGACAGCCTGATTGCCTAGTTTTGTCTTTCCTGGTATCTCATACCCAAACAAGCCCCCTCTAAAGAAGGAATTTCAGCCCTGCAAGGACAAGCTAACAGTTCCACACTGCATATTTATAGACTAACTTTGATGATTTCAAAATAACAAAATATTTTAAAAATTACCTTAAAACATGAAAACTTAAGGATTTCGGGGAAAAAATGTTTAAGCATATTACTTTGCAGGTGAGTGAAAGCCTATCTTCATTCTGACCAGCAGTTCTATAATTCTCACTGAAGATGTGCTTGGCTAATCCTTTGTAACAGTCAGTTTAAACAACTGCTAGCAGTTTTTCAAATAGCCTGGGATTATGACAGGCTGTAACCCCAGCACTCAGGAAGCTGAGGCACGAAGTACCCCAGGCCAGCCTGATGTACCTAGTCCATTCCAGACTAACATGGCAACATACTCTCAAAAAAAATTTAGAAAAGGAAAAATAAAAATGTAAAGACTATATACTTCATTTAAATGTTTACTTATCCCTAAGTAGTTGTACAAAGGGATTACAATTCAAATGTCAGTTTATAAATACACTGCATCTTGGTCAGTATTTTTAAGTAAAGGTTACAGTGAATTATACCATATGGACACCATTTTCCCCGAGTGTTCAATGACTTTGTAATGTTCTTCCTCCCTTAAGATCTATGGCTTTTCACCTCTCTGCTAGTCACTTAACTCTTCTCTGTGATCCTCTTTAATTTTTTCCCTGACCAACCACCCATTAAGACCACAATGATGTGCTGAGTGCTGAGACTGCCAACCCACTTGCTTTCATTGCCAAAGCTGCTAAACTACCAACTCTACTTAGTTAGCTGGCAGCATATACACTAGACAAACTTAGATAACTTGTAGTGAACCTAGGAAACTAAAATAACTGTCTAGGCAAACTGAACACACAAAATGATCTACAAAATCATGACCAAAAATACAGGGTTATTTGTTACACTGCAAAAGCTAACTGATACAAAGATCAACCCACAAGTTCTATTTGTACCCTACCAAAGACAAATGGCTAAATGAAAATCATCTAGGCACACTCTGGAGCATTCATCTGAAGTCGGCATCAACCAAATAAAAGGAAATGTTTTACATACCTGTCACTAGGAAGCAAACCTGAAGATTCTTCTTCTCTCTTCGGTATGTCATAGGAATCAATAGGTCTAAAAGATGGAGGAAATATAGACAAAATAATAAACTTTGATATTTCCCCTGACTATAAGACAGGGTATCAAATATTGTTATTCTAACCTTTTCATGCAAATAGCCTTTGCAGAAAACTACTACTAATGCCAACACTCAATATTCATACATTCATTCACTCAGTCACTTGCTCCACAAAATAGGTTGGATATTCTATGTTCCAGGAATGTTCTAGAGTGACACTACAGAACAAAAACAAACTTGCTGCCCTTGTAGCACCTGTATTTTACTGGGGGCAGGAAGGCCAACTGACAAACAAATGCAGGCATTAATACAACACAGGTTTACAGCACATAGACAGAAAGGGTAGGGAAGTGAGAGGTACTTATTTAAAATCAGATGTTCTAGAAAGTGTGAGGCCAGGCCTGCATCCCCCTGGTAGTCCTGGGCTATGGTACAGACCTCCTGTACTGGTATATTTTGACTGAAGTCTCCCTCTCTCTCTCTGCCTGGTGTTTCTGTGCCTCGATGGCCTCCTCCTGCTCTTCCTGCATCTGTTGCTGCTCCTTCAGTTTCCTCTCTTGCTCCAGAATCAGTTGGTCCTGAAGCTTCTGTCTTGGCTCCTCATGAACCACTTCCTCTTCCTGATGGCTCCTCTCCGGCTCTCCTGCTCGGCTTCCTTCCCTGTCGGAGGACTTAGAGCCTTCACTCCATGTGGCTTCCCAGCTGGAAAGAGTAGGCTGTCGTGTGGTCAGAGAAATGTTGTTTGAGTTCAGGACCATCAGCTCCTGTGTGGCCAAGAGAAGAGAAATCCATCTCAGCTGCTACAGTCATATGCAGACAGATTTGGTTTCAGATGAGCTGAGCATATCCCAGACTTCTAATCAAGTAAAGTTCATCACTTAAAAAGCTATACAATGTACTAGTAGGGGGTGGTGCTGAGAGGACAATAAAGAATAGGAAATGTTGTCAAAATAGATTATTTCCAGAGCCAGGTGCCAGTGGCTCACGCCTGTAATCATAGCTACTCAGGAAGCTGAGATCTGAGGATCACAGTTCAAAGCCAGCCCGGGCAGGAAAGTCCAGGAGACTCTTATCTCCAATAAACCACTAGAAAACCAGAAGTAGTGCTGTGGGTCAAGTGGTAGAGCACTCGTCTTGGAGTTGAAGAGAACAAGGACAACACCCAAGCCCAGAGTTCAAGCCCCATGACCGCCAAAAAAGAGGAAAAAAGGAGATTATTTCCAACTATGAACATGGAACAGGAAATCTGTTGCAGATATTGTTTCTTAGAGGAAAGGACACAGGGAGTGAAATTGATTGGAATATAGCATTAACATGTAAGGATATATAACAATGAAATACCCTCCTCCATAAAACAGAGATAATTCAATAACTTTTATAAAAACCATCTGAGTGACATTAGAAGAAAGGAAGACTAACTAACATTCTATTGATACTATTACTTGATGAATAATAGAAAACTTAGGAGGAAAGCTAAGAGATCAAAAGAAAAATGCAAATACAACCAGAAGTCATACTAGTTTCCAAAAAGCAACAGAGATAAATATGTGGTTCAAACGAGAGGGAAATGAGGTGTCTTGTTTCTTGGCTTGTTTTGTCAAACAAAAAAGATCAAGAAGAGAGCTGGAAAGACACATTTCAATACTACCTCATCCAAATACTTAGAGTTCTCTCTTTCGGCTTCCTGTTTAGCCCTTTGCCACTCTTCCCTCAGTTTCTCCTGCTCACGTTGGTATTTTTCCTATGAGAAAATAGGGCAGATTAATGAATCAACATTAGCTTTTGCTGGATCTACAAGTTCCCCTCACTCTTTAACTTTCACTTAAGCAAACAGGTTTTAGTCCCTATAGTGGAAAAGAGCTTATGTTGAGCTAAAATGGAAGCAAGATAGACACGCCAACTTTGACCTGTGGCCTCCCCTTATTCTCATGGAATTCATTAAAAGAGGATGGTTTGGATTTGCTTTTCAGAATTTGACTGGTATGGTGGCATTTATCTGTAATGCTAGCTACTGGGGAGACATAGGAAGATCACAAACTATGTCTGGCATGGCAAGATTAGAACACGACTCTATCCTCAAATCAAACCAAACACAAAAGACAATGACAAGGCCTTGAGTCTAATCTCCAGTGCCACAAAAAAATAATAATAATAAAACTTCCTTTTTTTTTTGGTGCTAGTACTGGAGCTTGATCTCAGGGCATGGGCACTGTCCTTTAGATTTTTTTTTTTTTACCCAAGGCTGGGGCATTCTACCACTTGAGCCATAGCTCAAGATAGCTTGAGTGGTATTAAAGATAAAAGTCTTAAAAACTTCCCTGCCTGGGCTGACTTCAAACTTCAGTCCTCAGATCTCAGCCTCCTGAGTAGCTAGGATTATAGGCATGTGCCAGTAGCACCCAGAAAAATTTACTTGTTGACATGGTCCAGAAAAGAACTATGAAATGAAGCCTATTTCCCCATGCCCCTTGGCCGGCCAGTGCTACCTGCAGCAGGCGGTCTTGCTCTTTCTGCCATCTCTCCTGCCGCTTTCGCTCCTCCTCTTGATCCCATGCCCAGCGACTTGGGGCACTAAGGCTTGGAACAGGAAGCTAACCAGATATCAGACAAGATAGACAAACAAAAATCAACATACTTCACCAAATCATCTACTAAAGCATTCAATTATTCGTGTATAAATGATTCAACTCGGCCAGGGCACCAGGGAAGTAGAGCTATCCTTTTTTCAAAGTCAGTCTTTTTCAACTTGAAAAAAGTACTACTTGATCACCTTTATGCAATAAAAAATAATGCAAAGCAACACTCTGGAGTAGTAATTTAGTCTTTTCAAACCCCTCTCTTATTTATTTCCAATGACAAATGAATACTACTTACATCGGGAACCACAGAATCAGAGCTTCCTATATTCCAGCACATGAGCAAGGAGAGAAGAAAAATACAATGTAAGTCTAGAAAAATACAATGTAAGTCTTTCCATTTCTACCAAATAATTTCTTTCAGAGTTCTATCACCAGTTCTCTCTATGCTAATGCCATCAACATGGGGTGTGTGTATATGTGTGTGTGTGTGCGTGTGCGTGCGCGTGTGTGTAGCGTGCCAACAATGCTTGGCTTGAACTCAGGGCCTGTACACTACCCCTTAGCTTTTTTTGTTCAAGACTAGTACTCTACCACTTGAGCTACAGCTCTACTTCTGGCTTTCTTTTTTTTGTGGTTAATTGGAGATAAGGGTCTCACAGACTTTCTTGCCCAGGCTAGCTTTAACCCACCACCAGATCTCAGCCTCCTGAGTAGCTAGGATTACTAGCACCTGCTAACAGCAACTTTTTAAAACAGCAATGCGTAGGCCTTTTCTCCCTCCCGTTCTACTATCTCCATCTTCTAAACTCAAATTGAATAATAAGAAGATAAACCACAGGTGCCAATGGCGTCCCCAAAACTGTAGATCCGAGAGCTCAATCAATGGATGTTTCTAAACAGGTTTCAAGGTTTTATCACCAAATTAGGTATCTTCTATTTGGCAAAAAAGCTCAAATTTTACATTATCTATCAAATCTAGTTGTTTATTCAACCACAATGCAACAAGTCCCCATCATATTTTTCAGGTTCTCTCGCTATTGAGCTACTTTAAATAAATATGCCACTACAGCAAATGTTTTCAAGAACATTTCACCTTTCCTATTCAAGAACCATGTATAAACTTACACACATGATTCCTTTTATCTTTAGGGGGCTTACAAAATTGTGTGGGGGGGGGCATATTCTGGTAATTTTCTTTTAAAGCTACATTCCAAAAGTACACCAGCAGTGTTTTTAACTTTTCCTGAAAACCACAGCTCACAAATAAATTACTCACATATATTTTAAGAAAATTGCTTTAAGCTTTAGAAAAATATTCTGCCCTAAAACAGCTTATTGATGAAAAGCCAAAAGAAAATTAGAATAGAGAAAGAAAAGGAATTATTTTGTTTGAGCCAATCTGCATTAGAAATATAATACAATTTCAATTAAATAGCCATAGGAAAACAAGAGTTTAATGAAAAATTTGAATCAAAAACACTACAGATACAGACACAAATAGACATGCAGGGCTACTGTTGCTATTGCCGGTCAAAAAAAGACCTTACCTAGACAGTTAACACAAAGACACAAACCCAGTAAGTATCATGTTACAAGGCATGTTTACACATGGTTCATTAATCTTAAAAGAAACAGTAACATTTTAGACAGAACCAGTGCCATCTACTCTGACCATTGCATCTAAAATGTTAGGTATTACTTTTAAGTTCTTCATTAGAGTTAAAGAGAGAGCACTCATTCAAGGGACAGATCACTGGACAAACAGGAAGGGGTTGGCACTGTGGCATGCAGCATACTTCCTGGGCAGCCCTGCCAAACTACACCAACATGGATAGTTTTTAAATCATCACTTGCCAAAATGTATTGATTCTGAATGCAATTCAAAGTCAACAAAGCAGTCAGTTCGACACACTAAAGCCACCATGCCATAGCAGCCCAACACCACTGTTGTTGTTCTTGTTTTTGTTTTTTGATGGCTATGGGGAGATGAACTCAGGACCTTGTGCTTGCTAAGCAGGCACTCTGCCTCCTGAACCACGCTCCCAGTCCTTTTTGTAAAAAAATAGGATCTTACGTATATGCCTGGACCAGCGTGGACCATGATCCACCTATTTATGCTTCTCACCCAGCTAGGATGACAGGTGCACACTAACATGTCCATCCAGCTACTGGTGGAGAAAGGATTTCACATTTATGCCCAGGTTCAACCTGGAACTGTGAACCTCCCAATGGCCTCCCTAGTTAGTAAGGAGAAATTGCATGGGCCACTGGTACCCAGCAGAATTGTTCTTTATTAAAAATCATCTTCTACAACCAAAACTAGGTTTAATTTAATACTTTGGAAAAACTGCATGTTGGTGTAATCTAATATTATACCAGGTGTAGGAAGCAGTAAGGCTTAAATGAATTTCCTCATTTCTTACTGTTACCCAGTGGGAAGACATGTGTTTTTAACAGCAGCTCAGTGTTTTGGTTTGTTTCACAAAGTTAAAAGAGAAAACATCTTTAGAGGTATACAAGGGACACACAAAGACCCATTACCACAGAGGTAGACCCATGAACTGTAAGAAAAGCCTGCCGCTCCTAGGGAAAGAACGGAAATGGGTTACGTTGTTTGGTCATAATGACAGTCAAATCGAAGAGGCTTAGTGCCCAGAACCACAGACCACGAGGCAGAGTGGAGAGAGAGAACAAGAACGTGAAAGGCAATGAATGGTTAGCATTGTGGTTTACCTTGTTCAAAAAATTGTGACCGCCTTTTTAAGTTTTTCAAAGAAATAGGTTCAGATGCTAATTGGAAAATAAAAACAATAAGTAAATATACCACGTCACATTGATTTTCATTTCTTACCACTGGTAAAAACTAAATGATACTTAAAAAAAAACCTCACCAAACTGTAGCAGTATTATTTTTTTAATGACCAAACTGATAGCCATAGAAGATACAAGTTATTTTTGACAGATAAGACACATTTATCTTAGTAGACTACCCTACATTTGAATTAATAAAATAAACAAATACATTTATTAATAAATTTTAGTAGCTAGCATTAAATTTTCATAGCTATGAAAGCCATAACATCCATGCAAGAGTTTTAGAGAAAAGAAAATAAACCCTTTTTATTTTTAACTTAGGTAAATCAATCCAAAATAATCTCTTTTGAAGTTTTCACAATATTGATGAATAGGTACTCAAAACTACTGGGGAAGAAGAAGATGATAAAATCAGTAAGATGATAAATACAAAAAATACTAAAATTAAGATTTTTTAAACTATAATATTTTAAACTATAATATAAATTATATAAAATATAATATCTTAAACTATAATAGTTTTCAAGACTGCATAGTTACTAACTTAAGTAAACAGTTCAGAAAGAGAAAGGAAACATCTAACTATAAACAAGACTATAACGTAAGATGTAAATGTGATTATCAGTGGATATCAGTGGGTAATTAGCTATTTAAACAAAACCTTCAAATGACAGGGCTTTGAGCATCTCTATATCATTAAAGACTTGGGTTTCTTCTACCTGACCCACTAGCAAGACAGGACCTAAACTGTCACCGACTTAGTATCATAAAAAAAAAGCAATGTTTAAAAAATTCTTTTGATAAAGAAGACAACTGAAAAACATTAAATATCATCACTTAATACTGTCAAAATGAAACACAGGGACAAATAATCAGGAAGAAAAAGGAAGCTTATGGACCTAGAATGTCATTGACATATGTATTCTAAACAGGCACGCTTGGTTTCAATGTCACTAAAGCCCAGCCATGCTTTAAGAAGCCCAGTTTCATGATGAAAAAAAAAATCTCCTTTGGGTTTTGTTCCCGCTTATGTGAACTAGACAGTTCCTTCTTATTTAGTTTCTATGTTCAAGAAACAGTACCCAGTATGCAGGAGGTAAATTACCACTAGGTTAGCAGAAGAAGGAGAGTGAGGAAAAAGAACTCCAATATTTTCCTAGCTACTTTGCCTTCTTTCTCATTTCAAATGAGTATGAATGAACAACTGCCATTGCCACAGGCATTTCTCTATGAAGATTAGCTGCCTGACACTTGTCCCTTTCATAACAATAAGTGGGGAAGGGAGATTTCATTCATCGTTTTGCATTTAACAAAGATTCTCTTTACCAGCATCCCACAGTCAGAAAGCTGCCAGACTTGGGAAAACCTGTTCTTACTTGGCTTAAGCTCAGGGGCCCCCAGAACTCAGGAAGGTCCTGTCAATATTTTGTTTGCATTTCCTGAATGTTGAACAACGCTAGAACTGAATGCCCTCAGTGGACATCGGATCTTTATGCTAGCTAACCTTGTAGTTCAACTTGAAGAGGTCTGCTTTTCTCTTTCATTCACATTATTTTTTTTCCTTTTTCTTTTTTGCCAGGCCTGGGACTTGAACTCAGAGCCTGGGTGGTATCCCTAAGCCTCTTTTGCTCAAGGTTAGTGCTCTATCACTTGAGCCACAGCACCATGTCTGGCTTTTTCTGAATAATTTGTTAGAGATAAAACTTGCCTGATCAGGCTGGCTTCAAACCATGAACCTCAGATCTCAGCCTCCTGAGTAGCTAGGATTATAGGCGTGAGCCACTGGCACCCAACCAGACATTCATTGTTATGGCTGAACTTGATAGCTAGGACTTTTCCTATATGCAAACATAAGAAATAATGGTGTTACCTTTTGATTCAAAAGTGTTGCTTTCATCGTGAATTCCATTGATTTCTTTTGATTCAGTATACTATAAAGGACAAAAAGGCTAATTAATATTACTTCCCATTGGACAATGGAATTAAATAATGCATTTCTCATTAGTGAAAATATAACTAGATAGGGTTTTCAGGCTATTAGTCATTCTTTATGGCTTTTAACATGCAGTCAAAACTTAACATTGTTTCATTGCTTTCCAATACTTGTGAAAAGATTAATGACTAGCTACAAGCAAGGATGGCCTTAGGTTTAATCAGTCATTAATGATCTAAGAAAAAATGATGAACAAAATAATCATTAATCCATTTGGCTTCTATTTATAAGTAACCAAAGCAGTCATATGGAACTAACATTTAAATCTTTCCTACAAAATATATCAAGATTTCCTCATGAAATAAAGTTGCATTTAGTTAAAAAATTTTCAAGGAGTGATGAGTCACACAAGTAATCCCAGCACTTAGGAGGCTGAGACAGGAAGATTGCAAGTTCAAGGACAATCTTAGCCTTATAGTGAGACTCTGCCTCAAAAATTAATCAATAAATAAAATTAAATATAGTTCAGATATATCTCAGTGGTAGAGTGCCCTGTGTCTGAGGTTCAACACTACAAAAAATATAAATAAATGAAATAAATAAAATTTCAAATTGTTAATTTAACTGAAGATAAATTTAAAATTTTTAAATACATTCTTTTCAAAGTCTGTATAAAAATACATTGCTCTGACACTTAGAAAAACGTCTGCATTATAATTTCAAATCAGTTAATGGAATGATTATGTTTTAATCACACATGTAAATCTACCTATTAAATTCACCCACATGAAAAGTCAGATGCTTCAGGTTTCATATTGCACACAATTACTGCACCTTGCCAGTGGAGACTAAAGAATGTATACAGAAGTTACACCATATAATTTTACATAATTGCTACTTCATGTTCATAAAGATCTGAGAGAAGGTAGTAAAAATGAAAGATTGGTGGGAAATACCTACAGAACTGCATTATGGGATCTTTTGATGTTTCCATTCCCTAGCTCACTAATTGCACACAATGAAGAGTAGTGCATTCTAGTTTTTTTTTTAAACTACATTTCACTCTCTTTAAGATAAATCACTGTATTTAATTATTCATGTGTTTCTTTAAAGTATCATCAAAATTGTTCAAACAAGATAATTCATCTTTTGCATTTACAATCTCATTTATACAAACACTCCCATTTCTCAAGATACTTACAGGACTCTGAAGGCTTTCAGAGAAATCAGTTGTCGTGGATAGACTTAAAGACTTGTCCGAGTTATAAATTCCAGAGGTTGTATCAATCCACTTTGTTTCGGGTGAACCTATAATTTTGGTAGCCATACTGGTGAGATTGAGGGTTTTATGACGTGTAAATGGTAGGGAAGATTGGTCTTTGCCCCAGTCTGATTGGCACATGAAGATCAAGTAATGGGTACATATACACGGTGAAGTGGAAAGAATAAAGTTACTGAATGAACAGATACAAAATACACACATAGAAACACAGACAAACTAATCAAGGAGAATGGAAAAGAAATGAAAGCAAGTCTCTTGCTAACAGACCATCTTCCCCAAACACAAAGGTTAAATTATGTTAGTCATTAAGGAACTAGCAAATTTCCTGAAACTTTCCTTCAGACAGGAAGATGTTCTGTTTTGACATCATAAACTGGTAGATCTGGAGAGACATAGTGCCCTCCTCTACTAACAGCAAATACAAAGAAATAAAAAAAATAGAAAATGTGAAAGTGAAGGTATGGCTTAAGTGGTAGAGTACTAGCCTGAAACAAAAAAAGTTAAGTATGAGCCAGGAATCCTAGCTATTCAGGAGGCTGAGATCTGAGGATCGTGGTTCAAAGCCTGCCCAGGCAGGAAAGTCTGTGAGACTCTTATCTCCAATTCACTGTCAGAAAAACTAGAAGTGGTGCTGTGGCTCAAGCGGTAGAGCACTTGCTTTGAGCTGAAGAGCTCAGCGACAGTGCCCAGGCCCAGAGTTCAAGCCCCATGATGGACCAAAAAGAAAATTAATTATGATTGGAAGGTCCTGAGTTTTATACCCCAGTACAAAAATAGAAAAGTCATAGTGGAAGTTTCTCAAGATGAAACAGTAAGAACAGAGCCTACCATTTTCTTGCATATACCAAGAGAGTTACAATACCATAAAAAAAGTTATGTCATACCATAGTTTTTGACAATAACACTAATAAGTAACTGCTATTTCCCATTCACATTTGTCTTAAACTGATATTAGTCTGATCAGTGCATATGTCAATCCAATAATGTAAAATTCAGAAAATCTGCTAGTGAGAATTCTGAAACTCTGCTAGTGAAGAGTTATCAGACAAAACAGCCAGACACGTTGTTCAAGATTTCTCCCCGCATAACAATAAAACACTTGTAAGCCCCAAAATGAAATAAAATGAGAAAATAAAGACGTTACTAAAGCAAGTGGTTACAAAACTTGCCAAAGACCAGCTTCCCAGTTTAGAAAGGCAGACACAGTGGTAAACCACGCTCACCAGACTTTCCATAGCGTCTGATATCCATCACTAGGTTTCCAGTTTCCCGAGCATTTGCCATGGCTTCCTCCCACTCTTTTGTATCGTTGTATGAAAACTTGGTGTTGTTGAGAGCAATAATTTCATCATCTACTTGCAGCTGGGAAATCTCTGCAGGGCCACCTAAGCAATATAAATTCAAAAGCAAATGAAACCCCCATGTGATCTACCAGGCAGTGCTTTTATAACATGGCTTCTCAATTTTATCTGACAATTTCTCATTATTTTCAGATAGATCAGAAACAAGTGTGTGAACATCAATGACATAGAAAACATGGATGATACTTGTATTCTATAGCACGTTATCATCTTTAACCCTGAAAGGATAAATAGTAAGATGTTATTAGCCTACAGAGGACTTTTTTTTTTACTATTTCTAAATTAAAAACATGAAATAAATTGCACTTTAATTGAGCTTCCATGTGCATAATGGGAATATAAGAAAACATAGCCACTTAATAGTGCTTAAATGTATTGCTGTCAGAGAGAGCAATGAAAGGCATGGCATTGATCAAGAAGCAGTGTATTTATAACATGACTTAGGGAATTATAACCTCTTTGTACAACTACTGAGAATTTTTTTTTAAAAATTACTGCTGTAAGTATCATTATCTAAATGATGTATCTAAATGATTTCATTATCTAAATGAAATTTAAAAGAAACAACTAATCCTAGCATGCCATCTTGCATAGCTATAACATGTAAACAGGGTCCTTCCCTCAAATATAATAGCTCTTGTTTTAATTTAGTCTTTATATTGGTATTTTACAGAGACCCTGGGCTTGACTTGGTATAAACCTTGGTGTAGAAAGGTTTGTCTCACCCACAAACCCCTTCCCCAACAAAAACAATGTGCAGAAGCCACAAACATTTTAGGATGATCAAAAGCACACTGCATTCATCTGGAGATGTAGTTCAGTGTTAGAGCACTCCTCCAGCGTGCACAGGGCCTGGGTTTGATCTCCACATGGAAGGATAAAAACTAAACAACAATAACATAAAGAACCCACATACAGGATGTATCTACCCAAAAACACAGCTAATGAAGGAAATTTCACTCTAATACTTCAAATTTAGCATTATTTTGCTAGCATTTCCAAAAATAATAGTAATAATAAGTTTTTTGCCAAATTCTGTAAAGTCCAAGAATTAAGACTTCTACACTAAAAGTAATTGGACCAGGAGCATATATAATATGAAATTTGTAACCAAATTAAAAGCTTCAGGAGAGAGGGTATCTCCTCTTATAGCAAATAAATTAATATTTTGTCTTTATTTTCCCCCACAGCGTAAGATAGCAAAGGAAAAGATGGTTCAGCAAACTTTACAATTTACCTGGTTCAACTGATGCTACGAAGATCCCGGAATAATCCCATTTTACTGTAAACCCGAAGTCAAGACTGTTCCCAGGAGTCTGGTTTATGTTGATTCTCATATCACTGAACTGATCCTGAAAACAAAACATGAAACGCTGGTGTCCGGTGTCCCTGGCATCCACACAGGGGAAAGCCAATCCTCAGAAGATGGAAAGCTATATGCAAGGTACCCCTGAGTTATTTCATGAGCTCAAAGCTTCCTTTTATTTCTCCTTGGATTTGATTAAAATTTTACTTATACAAGTATTAGCAAGTGGATTATCATTTGTCCTTTAGAACAAGGGGGGAAAATCTGTTGTCAGTGAATATTTCCTTCATATTAATACTATGAATCAGTTGGCTGTTGTTAAAGTTAGGCTTTTGCCTGCCATACAATTAAGTCTAATGTGTAAGCTTGTATTCCTTGCCCAACACTGAAATAGATAAATCATTTATCTATCACATCATACTTAAAAAGAAAAGCCCAACTCCAACATGAAATGTACTTAGCTGAATAACTAAAGTGGCTCACAGACATAATCTGGCTACCAGCACCATCCATCAGAGATCGGTACCCAGTGTTTCAAATTGAACAAGGAATTTTGCTGATCCAACTGCCTGAGCAGGATTTGGTGGTAAGGACATGGCTGATATGCATGCTACAAAACACAGAACTAAATCACCCATGAGAAACGATACCATAAAATGCCAAGAGATTCCCTAGAAGATGCCCTGGGTTACACAAATTACAACTTACTTGAAGTATTGTCAGCTATTGAACTTTCCTAGACAGAAGGTGGGAATTTTAAATCCCCCTCCATTCCTAGACAAAAACAAATCCAGATTTCCCTAGGACTTTCTTAACTTGTGTTTTAGACCGAACTTTCTGTGAAAACGTCACCTTTCATAATGTAAATATTGTTTTATTTTGGGTAAGCAACAGATACAATTTTATTTGCTATATTTACCAGAGCAATCTTTTAGTTCTTTGCATCATCACCATAAAAGATTTAGACTCACCTTATGTAAAACATTCTTCCTAATGTTCCTTTCATTTCCAGAAAACAGGCTAATCAACTATCTATTCTAATTTGGCAATGAAACCCAAACCTGAGGCCAACTAGTGAAATTCTCTGTTTTATCCACCCATAAAATAAGCTTAAAATCCAAGTAATTGCTGGGTGCTGGCTCCTGCTTATAATCTTAGCTACTCAGGAGGCTGAGATCTGAGAATTGCAGTCCAGAGCCAGCCTGGGAAGGAAAGTTGGTGAGACTCATTTCTTCAATTAATCACCAAAAAAGCTGTAAGTGATGTTGTGGCTCAAGGGGTAGAGCCCTAACTCTGACCATAAAAGCTCAGGGACAGTGCTCAAGCCCTGAGATCAAGCCCTAGAACTGGCACATACACATGCATACACATATGTGCATACATATGCACACAAATTCAAGCAATAATATTTTGAGAAAATTCAGAAAGACAGAATATAAGACGTAGACGAAAAGCAAAGACGACACTGAATAAAGTCTTGAGAACTTTCTATGCTACATGGATGCATGACAGTATAATATTATACCACTATGCACTTCTTCATCAGTTCAACATATATTTACCATGTATTGGTTCCATATAAAACACAGTACTTGGCACTTTGGAAGATGCAGATGAGTTCAACATAATCTTATTCTTGAGAAATAATCTCTGACTCTTGAACAATAGTTGTGGAGTTTTTTAAAGCAAGAAAAACACGGGTAGCTAGTAATATAGTATAAATAGTATCTATAATATAGCATATACATAGTATCCAACAGAATGAAAGGCAGTTTTAATGGAGGCACCCAGGTGCATCTGAACGTAATAAAATGATTCAGAATGGAAAAAGTTACTGGTTAGGTCTATTCCCTGAAACCAACAGCAAACCCCTAAATTAGGGGTGACTCAATGAAAATAAGTGGTCATCTTTACCACACTTACCCACTCGTCCAAAAAAAAAAAGAAAAATCTTACTTAAAGCCAGTTAAAGTGTGGAATCTATTGCTAAATAAGGACAAAATGACAAATGATGGGTTAGATATTCAAACCACAAATTGAGGTTTCTTCGCTTGAGTAAGAGACAGGATGGAGTTTTAATAGTTTCAAGCTACATTAAAAAAAATACGTTGTGGGAGAAAGCAAATGAATATTATCCTTTCCTACCAAATATAAGATAAAGGAGAAAGAGGCTAAGCCATGAGAAAAGAACCTCACAATTACATTAGAGCAGAAAATTGTCCATCCCATATCCAAAAAAAAAAAAAAAAAAGACTGCTCTTAGTTAGGCAATGAAAAGATCTCTATTTGAACTTGTGAAAGAGATAACCATCCCTCAGGACATGTTGATGAAAAGAAAGCCCCAGCTGCTGCTACTACAGTGTAGAGTGTTATGTTAGTCCAGGAGACAGTCAGGTGGGCAATTATGAGTACACCTGTTAATAACCAGGTGATCCAGGCTACAAGAGGTTTCCCTCTCACTATGACATTGGTTTTCCAGGTTTCTTTGTTCTCAGTACCCTACTTTGAAATGAAATCTTATGCCTCTACCTACCATATATATATATATATATATATATATATACACACACACATATATATACACATATATGTATATGGAGAGAGAGAAAGAGAAGAGATTAAAACAGGCCCTGGTGACTCAGGAGGATGAGATCTGAGGACCTGGTTCAAAGCCTCACTTGGGCAAGAAAGCCTATGAAACTCTTGCCTCCAACTAACTACCAAAAAAGTCAGAAGTGGAGCTGTGGCTCAAGAGGTAGAGTGCTAGCCTTGAGCAAAAATACTCAGGGACAGAGCCCAGGTGCTGAGTTCAAGCCTCCTCAGCACCAGCACATGCATGCACATGCACACATGCACATGCGTGCGTGCACACGTGCACACACACACACACATTTGTGTGTCCCCCTGCATTGCGGCCATCACTGAGGCATTTCTGTGGAATGCTGGGTCTTGTACTGGATTGTCCCTGAGATTCTTTGTATATGAAAATGGCTGTAACTTCACTCAAGCATAAACTATTTAGTAATGATTTAAGGTAGGATTTCTACTTCCTCATCATTCTCTTTATAATATACACTGCTTTTTTTTTTAAACAGAGGATCCAAGCTCCAGAAGATAATGGGGGAATTACTTTTTGAACTTAGTGGAATGAGAAAATAACTTCTGAGGGGAAACCTAGATTCTTGATGACTGAGAAATGAACTAAGTGGTTTCAGTTATCCATGCCAGAAAAGAGAAAATAATAGTTATCTATGGCAACCAAAATAAAAAACAATTTCCCTCAAATTGGGTACAATCTAAACTAAAGTAACAATGACAGCTGAGATTGCCCTACTAACTGTCAGACTATGAAGCTGAAATAGATGACCAACTTTTTTGAGATGGGCTGCGGTGCCATATAGCCTTGAACTTTTGATCTTCCTACCTCAGCCTTTTGAGTTCTAGAATTCCAATACCAGCTTAAAACCTCTGTGTGTCATTCTATGAAGCCATCATAACCCTCATCCCAAAACCAGGCAGGGACGCATCAAAGAAAGACAACTATAGACCCATTTCTTTGATGAACATTGATGCAAAACTTCTCAACAAAATTTTGGCCAATCGACCTCAACAATTCATCCAAAAAATCATACACCACGATCAAACAGGATTCATTTCAGGGATGCAAAGCTGGTTCAATATACGCAAATCAATTAATACTACCAATCACATCAACAGGAGCAAGAATAAGAACCACATGGTTATCTCAATAGATGCAGAAAAAGCATTCGAAAAGATCCAACACCCCTTCATGATGAAGGTTTTGGAAAAATTAGGAATC